TATATATATATATATATATATATATATGATTATAATATATATTATCTTTAATTATGATCGATTTCATGAGACAGATAGATAGATAGATTTAATTTTAGTAATTATTTATGATTGTAACAGGATTGACAGATAACCTGGGGGATGCAAATTAAGTCTTTTTTTTATTTAACCTGTCTATTAACGTCTGAATAAATAATATAAGTATATGCCTATAAGTAGAGCAGGCTAAATACAATAGTCTATACCAGCTTTTATTTTCATAGGATATTCAGTATATACATGCAAATGAGTGTCCTGTCGTTACACATAACGTTATATTCATGAGGGACAAAAACGCAACATTTTCTCGAGTCACTGAGCCAGAAAAATAAGCTTTCACTTTTTAAGCCATTTATAACCCAGCAAATATGGGTTTAATGTGATGATAAAGTTTAGTATTTCACCTAGAATATTCTCACATGTCAAACTTTGAGAACGCAAACTGGAGGATATTGACTCTGATATGGAGATTACGATCGCCGTCAGTCATTCACAATGTCAAAGCATCATTCATACTCACGTCCCGAGGATTTCCTTAAATTCAAATATCTTCCTGATGTCATCCACTTGCTTTTTCCACGATCCATTCACAGATTCCTCGCTTCCCCCGGCCATGGTGCTTCCAGGGTGAGCGCTGCCTCCGAATAACCTTCTTAACGCGTCAATCTTTCCAGCCTTACAGGAAACACAAAACACAAACGGATAAAGCCGCGAACGCGAGTATCGGTCTCTGTGGCTGTGTGACAGGCTTTAATCGTTGCCCGCATTCCGTTTCATGCCGCCCGGTTACGGTACCGCCAACAGAACGAGGACTGACCAACGCACAGCGACTAATCCAATCCCGCCTCACTGACTCACCGCGCTCGAGCTGAACCGACAGAACGTGTAACGCGCGCGCAAATGCGTGATTCCGTGTTCTCGAGGTATTGAAGTAGGGCTGCTGTACCGCACCGGTTGACAAATGATGCAACTGTTGCCCGGTAAATAACCGGTGAGCGCGTGTGAGGGATGACAGCAGACGGCTGAACAGACTGCGTCAGGAACGGTACACCTGCTGCATCAAGAGTAATACTGCATTCATCATTAGCCATACAAACTCTGTAAGTGAGGAAGACACTTTGATAAACGGTCTGTTTAAATAAACAGTACACACTAATACAGCCAAGAATAATAAATATTTCAAGACACTACAGGTGAATTGGGTAATTTTTTTTCAAATAAGACATCACCATACTTACCTAGTTGATTTACCACCGTACGTTAAGACAATTGTTTTGGTTTAGCCTACAAGTTCTCTGAAACGGTATGCTTAAATATGCAAATGATGGATTAGCTATTGAAATATACACTAATTTGCATACATTTGACGTCTGAACATTAATAAAGCTAGGTTTAAAATCCTTGTTTCATTTTGCTGACATATTAAGGTTTTTATAAAAGGGATTTTGGATATGTTTTTATCACAACATACATAAAAATAATGTCAATACCCCCATCACCATGTTTTTTATATAAATCAGTTGAATGAAGTAGAAATTTCGGGGCTGAAAAATTCTCAATTTTTTCAAGGAAAAAGCTTTACAGACAAATAGAAAAAGTATAACAAATTAACGCTTAAGTGTAGGCCTATATTTGGGATGTTTTCTTCTTTCCTAAGAAAGAAGACATGTTAAGGAAACAAAATAGCTCAAAATCTCATAATTGACTAGTGCATGAAAAAAAGCAATGGTTTTATCTGTAGTGTCCTATCTTAATTAATATTAACAGCTTAATATTCCAAAACCGAAAACGCAGTAATGCTGTTAAAATACTAAATTACCTACTTTTGCTTCTTATGAATGAACTTTTCAAGGTTATAATTTTTTCACGAATGTCTAAAAGAAACATGAATTGTAATTCATTTTAATTGATTGACCCTTTTGGGGTAGGGGCGTGTTTGTTTTGGTGATTTCAAATATCAACATTGGCTACCAGAAATCACTTACTCTGCCTTTAAGAATGAATATACGAAACGACAGACAAACAGGTTTAATTATTAATATTTTGCTTTGCATGATGAATATGTTAATGGTAAATGATCAACTTTTTTGTTCATTACTATTTATTTGATTTTTTATCTCCAGAATAAGTATTCAAGTACAAATTCAGTTACATCCACACAACACTGTGACTACTGAAAACAATTCATATAATTCACCATTATAAATTGGATTGGATGGGTTTATCATGGGTAAACATTCACAGGCAACTTTGCGTACAACGCTCGAGCTCGTTGTTTTCAGCTCTATTGTCAGTTGTTTTCAATTAATACTTGCACTTCGTAAACATGTAACATTCGATTCTTTGTTGTTATTTCCCACTGATTCTACATTCATCTGGAAAGAGTTGATTCCAAGCATCCCTTAATTCACATGCACACATTTAATGCACCAATGATTTGATCATGAGCCACTACCAGTTCACAACACGATATTCATCTCATCGCCGCAACGATAATTATTTATATTCTCTTCTTTGCCTCCATTCAGTCTTCCGCCCTCTGCACGTATATCAAATTTCATTTAAAAGTGCTTCGAAAACTTTTTCTACATTACTTATATACAATAAAAAAATGTTGTGCCAAATATTACTTTGAAATATCAATTATGGTGTATTGATAAACTGATTTAGATGTCAGTAAGAAATCTTCAGCCAACAGATGTTCCCTTGTACCTAATAAAGGGACGCATTAAACAGTCAAACCTGCAATATGCCTCTGTTTAGCACTCAGTCTACAAACAGAGCTCGGCGTTTGTTGTCAGTGTACCAGTCATAGCTTGTTTGCTACAATAAGACGATCATTTCTTGAAGTTGATGGTTGTGTGGTTTCAGGAGAAAGACGCGGTCAGGATGGCTTCATGCTGCTGATGGTGGAGAGTACCGATACCCACGGCAGGAGCGGGTAATGCTGGTCTGCTGACTGATCTCAACTGATGAAACAAATGACGAGATCAGCATCAATCATTTTGCAATAAATCAGTGTTAATTTGACGAATGTCATGATTTTAAGCTAAGAGGCGATCAAGGCATTAGCTAAGAGGCCCTCTATTAGCTGAAGTGGTGAACCTGACCTTGCAGGCTAACTGTTTTTCAAATCTGGGTGATACAAATGACCAGCAGCCCATGTTCTGTGGCTCCTCTTGACTCCAGATAAACTCTGTAATGGAAAAGGAAAATATATAATGTGATATAATATAATAAATACATTTGTTTCCAATAGTGTTTGCTATTTGTATGTTCACAACTAGCAACACAACACTGTAATAGGAAATAAATATACAAAACTGTTCAAAGGTTTGGGTAAAAAAAAGTCTGATTTTTTACAAATAAATTAGTATTTTTATTTATCAAAGATGCATTAAATAGATTAAAAGTGATATTAAAAGACATTTTTAATGTTTCTAAAGATTTTTCATGTTCTTTTAATTTTCTATTCATCAAGAAAAAAACAAATATATATCAGTTTGCACAATAATATTAAGCAGTTCAAGCCTGTTGTCTGTATATTAAACTGTTTTCAACATCGATAATAAGAAAATGTTTCCTGAGCACAAAATCAGCATATTCCTAAAAGAATTAGGAGCTGCTTAAAATTCAGCTATGCCACTACACGAATAAATTACATGTTAAAATATATTAAAATAGAAAAGAGTTATTTTAAGCTGTAAATTAGCTTTTACTTCATTTTTGAAACACTTCAAATAAATGCAGCCTTTGTGAGCATAAGTGACTTTTTTTTTAAAAATCTGACACCAAATTTTTGAATGTTATTGTGTGTATAATAAACATAAATATCAGGTAAAACTGTATTTTTATTAATCAGATTCAACTATTTTTAAATAATTATATTTCATTAAATAACAAAAAACATATATAATTTTGTATTTACTTTTTCATCTGTGTAGTGTGTAGTTTATGAACATTAACATTTTCGAAGCACCTCTGCATTGGGAACACATTTACAATTCCTTACAAAGGCCCCTCACAGAGCAACTGCCACTGAACCAAAGAAACACATGCTAATTAAGACAATGAATAGACTGTTCCATGAATAAAAGATGCGTATATGAGAAACTCACCTTTGGCGTTTGTGTATTTATTTAGTTCCTGTTGCAAGGCTTCTGTGGGGAAAGGACACAGTTCCTCCACCCTGATCAGCGCTGTGTTTTTTTCTGCCTCTGGTAACGTCTCTCTATGTTTCAGCAGGGCGTAGTAATGTTTACCTGAGCAAAACAGAATCCGCTGCACACTGCAAGACAAGAGCAAAAGATAGTTTTTTTTTTTTTTAAAGAAAATAATACTTTTATTCAGCAAGCATGCATTAGCGCTGCCGCCGGATGAAGCGCGTTGATGGGTGCGATCTCGCTCTTGCTCTGGTCGATGCGTGCGCGGGCGCGATCTTCCGGGAGAAATGCCCATATAAGGATTTCCACCCTCGTTTACGTCATGAAGAGCCACGATCGAAAAAAACTCTCCGAAACTTGTACGAACCCGGAAGTAAGATTTTTGGCACAGAAATACTCTGTCATACGTCCAAATTGTTTTTTGAAACTTTGTCCATGCTTAGCATGAGAATCTAACTCTTTAACGGTGTAAACAACTCTGAATGCATGAAACAGCATTGTACCCCCCCTTTAAATGATTTAAAGTGACAGTAAAGACGTTTGCATTATTACAAAAAAAATTCCTATTGCAAATAAATGCTGTTTTATTAGCAGCACAATTAATAATAAGAAATGTTTCTCGAGCAGCAAAACAGCATATTATAATGATTTCTGAAGGATCATGTGACACTGAAAAGACTGGAGTAATGATGCTACAAATTCAGCTTTGCATCACAGGAATAAATTACATTTTAAAATATGCTCAAATAAACAAATAGATATTTTAATTTACAATAATATTTCACAATATTACTCTATTTTTCATCAAATAAACGGTGAGCATAAGACACGTGTTTTAAAAAAGTGACTGAATGAAGATACCTTGCATGGTTTACAGAAGTATCACCAATGACAGGCTTAAAGGAAGTTCCTGGTCCCATATCAGCCAAGCTTGACACTGCCCCCTAGTGCAAATAAGAGGTGAATATTCCTTATTAAAACAACAACAACAACAACAACAAAATCATATAAATGATATTCATATCTTTAACGCACAGAAAAGCGCAGCAGAGTCTTCGGAGAGGCCACGATCAGCGGCTTCCTGAAGTTTCTAATCATTTGTCTCCGCAAAAGGTGGAAGTACTGAGCTGGTAGGGTAGGATTGACCACTCCCATGTTCACCGTGTCACCGTCCACACCTTCCTCTTTACTGTCACAGAGCTGCAGGACGAAGAGAGTGCAATTGTGCAATTATTATGCAGAAGATTTAGTCTGTACTTTTCCTGTAAGAGAGCATGCATTAAAGGGTTAGTTCACCCAAAAATGAAAATGAGCTTGTGTTTTACTTACCCTCGAAGCATCCTAGGTGTATATGACTTTCTTCTTTCAGACGAATCCAGTCAGAGTTATATAAAAAATTGTCTTTGATCTTTCAAGCTGTTTAATAGCACTCAGCGGGTGTTGCAGTTGAACAGTCCGCAAGTCGTCAAATAAAGCTCGCGCATTCATAATAAAACGTGCCGCAACAGCTTGAAAGATCAAAGACAATTTTTTATATAACTCTGACTGGATTCGTCTGAAAGAAGAAAGTCATATACACCTAGGATGCTTCGAGGGTAAGTAAAACACAAGCTAATTTTCATTTTTGGGTGAACTAACCCTTTAACTCGCCTGTAAGAAGCGCTCGATTCGGCAAGACGAATGCTCTGGTCCGGCTCCATCGTATCCGTGTGGCAGTAAGATGACCAATCCACTCTGCAGGAGCCATTTCGCCTCACCTAAAGAAGTTTAGCCACAAAACAGGATTTAGGCTCTAAAGATGTATTTATCCATTTGACCAAAGGTTGTGCAAATTATACTGTGATCCTTAGTATTTGATTGCATTTTTTTTTTTTTACCTCCAGAGAGGAAAGTGTCAAATATTATCTGGGCACCGTTGAAGAAATCTCCAAACTGAGCCTCCCAGATGGGCAGCAGTCTAGGCTGAGTAATGCTCATTCCATACTCAAACCCCAGAACAGCTTCCTCAGAAAGAGCACTGTTGCACACCTGCGAGAACACACACACACGCACACAACATAATTATATGCAGTAAAATGTGCTGGCTTAAAGAATCGAAACAGCAAGCCACCCAGCTCAGGAATGAAGAGCAGCTGGTTTATTGAGTTACAATACAAAGCTATCACATTACATTCCATCAACCAAACAGCATAATCGAAAATGTAATGTTAAAACACATATTAAAAAAGTGATAAATGATTGCAGCAATGCATAACTCATGTTTGCAGTACACTGTGCATGCTGTGTCTGTGTCTGGTTTGGCTCACCTCCAAGTGGCCTTTCTGGTCAGAGTTGATGTGATTGAGGGGGATGTACATGTCGTTGGTTTCCTGACACACAACCATAGTGTGACGCTGACTGAACGTACCCCGGCCAACATCCTGACCACTGATACGGATATTAAATCCTGCATTAAATACATAAAAAATAGTTTTTTTTTTACTTTCTGATGTTGACATATTTTCATGTACACTGATGATCCAAAGTTTAGGGTCAGTAGGATGTTTTTCTCTGAAAGACATTATTCTACGAGGATGCATTAAATGGATAAAAGTGACTTTTACATTATTATAAAAGAGATTTCAAATAAATGCTGTTCTTTTGAACTTTTTATTCATCCATCAAAATATTAAGCAGAACAACTGTTTTTAACACTGATAATTATAAGAAATGTTCCTTAAGCATATTAGAATGATTTCTGGAGGGTCATGTGACACTGAAGACTGGAATAATGATGCTGAAAATTCAGCTTTGCAATAATATTTCAGAATATTATTATATATATGAATCAAATAAATACAGCATAAGATGGTTCATTATGGTTCACATAAGATACATCTTTAAGCCGACCACAAACTTTTGAACGTTAGTGTATAATTCATTTAAAAAGTTTAAAAAGGTAGAAACTGTACACAGTACATTTGCAAAAAAATTATTGACTTTTATATTATCATTAAACTCAAGAACAATGAGTTCGAAATGATTAAAATACTATGTGGAAAATATTTAGTTTGTATTAAGCTGACAAAGAATCCTTTCTAATAGAGTACAGTTAAATACATGATCTGTTATATAAGGAATATAAATTCTTAACCTATAAAATGCATTATTTTTCACAATAAATATTGTCCAAAATTGTCTTAAAATAACCAGTGAACAACCTAAAGGTAACAATGATTATGGGAAAAATCTGTATACAGATACACTGAAAGCACAAATTATTCTGTTAATGTTCATTTTAACAGTGCAAGGAAGGAGAAATGAACACTTTACCCTGGCACAGCATTGAGCCAAACGCCAGGGCTTCTGCTGTGGACCAGTCCAATTTTGTGCCCTCTTCCAGTTTCTGCAGGCGTGCCTGTGACAAATCAAGACATTTGTTTAGGTTTGTTCAAATCAAATAGACTGCATCAATTCTTTACTGAGAAACCTATTTTTGAAGAGCCGTTCATATATATCGTTACAGATGTTCCTACTGTTACATAATACATGCATAAAAGTTAAACCTCTCAACTGTCATGTTGCTTTTTTTTTTTTTTTTTACAAAATGCCATAAAAGATCAAGCGAGATGTTCTTTCAATACCTGCACGTGTGTCTTTCTCAGATGACTGTGCAGTTGAATCTCCTCAGGTATGTCTACTGATTTGGCTCCTACGAACTGCAGCAGGGGCAGCGCTAGACCTGTGTCCCAGAACGAGACTCTATTCTGGGGCTCCACCAGGTCTCCCCAGCGCCCCTGGAGGTTGGTGGGCGGAGGGCTGTAGAGGGTCATGTTGTTCAGCCGGTCGTTGAGCATAGCGTAGTAGGTGGTCTTGATCTGACCACGCTCTTCCTCTGTCATCAGACCCTCAGCGATGAGCTGGTCGGCATACGAATCAGGGATACTTTTTCTCGACCTAGAATGGCAATGAAAAGAGGAAAATTAAATGAATTTGGAAAAGAAATGTGAATTTCCCAAACCGTGACTGTTAGAGGTACCCACCGAATAATTGTATACATTGCGGGGTTTGTGAAAAAGGGCTCGTCCAGCTCATTGTGCCCCCACTGGCGGTAACAAAGCAGGTCTATAATAACGTCTTTTCTGAAACGTCGCTGGTATTCCACGGCCAGCCGGGTCGCCCTGAGGACCTCCTCAGCGTCATCGCCATTCACATGGATTATTGCACATCCCACCATTTTACCTGAACAGCAACAAACAGAATTGCAAAAATGTTGTTTAGTTTTTAAATGTTATTTTACTTCAGCTAGTTTCCAGGTAAACATTTCTAATTTTTATTTAGTTTAATTTGATGTACTAAAACAACTGAAAATGAAATTAAAACAAAAAAAAAACTATATAGAAATAAAAAATACCTAATAAAAATGACAAAAACACAAAATTGCAAAAACGTTTAACTAAAATTAAAATAAAAACAAAATATAAAAACTATTAAAATATAAAACATTAAAATATACAAGATAAAAACTAAACTAAAACTTCTATATTATTATTTAAATTATAAATAATAATAACAATAATAATAATAATAACAACGTATATAAATAAATGCCATTCCAGCTTCTGTGGCTATTTTCATGGCAAGAAATATTATGGCTGAACTATATCATGTTTTTACAATTTATACTACGTATATAAATTAAATTATTAATAATAATAATAATAAATTACATTTTCTTAATTAAATTAAAGAAATATCATTATTACACTAATACTACTGTATTGCCATAAAAATATTACCATTATTATTAATGATAATAATAATAATACTTTTATTTTAATGAACATCAATAAAATTACAATCCTAATATTACCGGCCGTCTTAATTTATTTGCTTTTAAATTATTTTTATCAAACTATTATTTAAAACTGCAGAAAGACCTTTCAAGGTGCGGTCACATTTTCCATTGTTGGGTGAATTTATATTATAATATAACCACAATATAATTTCCTATTATTAGGATTGCAAAATGTGATTGAAATGTAACCTGCACAATTATTTCATTTATCTCAAATAATTGGATTCAGTTTAAATAACCACAACGAGACAATTAAGAAAAAACCACGACAGGCCAATCTTAGGTCATACATCTCAGGTTGGAAAATATGGAAATCTATGTACAGTGGAAAAAAATAAATAAATAAAAATATCAATCAATCACACCCCTGACAAATACATACCAACATCACTACAGTACAGAGATGATCGGCCCCTCTCTGAGGGAGTGGTGTAGCCCACTTGATTGTTCACGATGAGGTGGATGCTTCCACCTACTCTAAAATGGGGGAGATTTGACAGGGTGAAGTTCTCGGTTACTATGCCTTGGCCTGAAAACGAAGCATCGCCGTGAACCTGTACATAACAGATAAAGAACTGTAATGTTATAACATTACCACAACTACTATATATTAGCATGGTGTATAATGTTATAGCTAGTGAATTTCCTAATCCGGAAACTACAACATAACTAAAACAAGACATCCTAAAATTGATTGATTGATCTCTGCTCGGGACCTGCAGGCAGATGACTTTGTCTCCTGGTCGTGCATGAGGGTCAGTGGAGTAATCGCCGTCCTGTTTGACTTGCTGACGGCCACGAGTCTTTCCTTGCGTCACGGGGTTGATGGCCTCCAGGTGGGAGGGGTTAGGCAGCATAGTGACATGGAGAGGGTGTCCCGCCCCAAAGTCCAGCTCCACCGTGGAGGTCAAATGAGACAGCACGTCTCCAATAGAGGGAGAGTTCTCCGGAAACTCGCTGAGACCCCTCATCTTACGGAACATGAGCTGAGAGCGAGAAATGAAGAAGTATTTGGTCAAAAGCTTAATAATGGCTGCAGGCAATGACTCAATTATAATGTTCTCCCAAAACTTGCCGTTACAAAATAAACTGTCATTTCTTGAAGAATGAGTCTATTTATGTGGAATGAGGAGGTGGAGATTGTGACTCAGAGGATTAGATGTGAAGAAGAAACAATGAGTGAGGAATTAAACCAAGATGGCATAAACATGACTGACAAGGAAGAAAAACAAGGAATCGATTCCAAACCGAAGATGAGCATGCAAACACAATTTTAAGGGGAAAATCACGCAAAAATGTAAATTCTGTTATAATTTACTCCCCCTCATGTCGTTCCAAACCTCTAGGACTTTCTTTATAACATAAAAGAAGATATTTTGAGAAATGTCACAGAGTTTTTTTGTCCATATAATGGAAGTCAATGGTAACCAAAACTGTTTGGCTACCAACATTATTCAAAATATCTTTTTTTATGTTCCACAGAAGAAAGAAATTCATACAGGTTTGAGTAAATAATGAGAGAATTTAAATTTTTGTGTGAACTATCCCTTTAAGAGTCATCACATACAACAAATTAACAAAATAAGATCAGTAGTGAAAATAATTAATATAGTATGTTTCCATTACAAACATATAAGTTTACCAGCATAACATTTACATGAATTTTAAATTGATATGTGCCACTGAGTAATTATTGTGACTTCATTGGTGTAGAATTTATTTTTTTCATGCTATTTTAGCAGACAGTACTGTAGAGAATGACAGGAAAGCGTGGGTGGAGAGTTGGCAACAGGATTGGCAAAGGACCGCGAGTCAGGACTTGAACTCAAGTCACCAGAGATGCAATTGCATTATATGTCATTGCGCAAACCACTAGATTTTCAGTGTCGAAAAATGAAATTTGTCATTAATTACTCACCCTCACGTCGTTCCAAACCCGTAAGACCTTCGTTTATCTTCGGAACAAAAATTAAGATATTTCTGATGAAATTCGAGGGCTTTAGAAAGGTAGTAAGGACATTGTTAAAATAGTCCATGTGACATCAGTGGTTCAACCTTAATTTTATGAAGCTACAACTCTCGTGAACGCACATCGAAGACTGACATGGAAGAGAAGAAATTAATGAATAAAGTAATTATTATTGTTTTCTTTGAGCACAAAAGTATTCTCGTAGCTTCATAACATTACAGTTGAACCACTGATGTCACATGGACTATTTTAATGATGTCCTTACTACCTTTCTGGGCCTTGAATGTGGTAGTTGCGTTGCTGTCTAATGCAGGGTCAGAAAGCTCTCGAATTTCATCAAAAATATGTTAATTTTTGTTCCAAAGATGAACGAAGGTCTTACAGGTTTGGAACGACATGAGGGTGAGTAATTAATGACAGAATTTTGGGGTGAACTATCCCTTTAACTAAAGCACCTTTAAATGCTACCTTTAGTATATAAAAACACATTGTTTTAATATACTAAAACGGTTTATCTCCAGGATTAAATACCCACATTTTCAATGTGTTCTCCATCTGTAGACTGTATATATCTGACTTAATATGTTACAGCAGCAGGCTGTCTAGACATGCTTTAAACTGTAATCTACATACAGAAAATATAGCCAGAAAAAATAAGAATCAACCTCTGGAGGGAACTGCAGTAGTCCGGTAAGCAGGTTGAGACGTCCGCGGTGAGGCATTCCCATGACCATGTCTGTCACTCCACTGTACGCCGAAGAGCGGAACAGCTCGTAGAAAAATCCCATCATGCTCTCTGCTCCCTCACCTCCATATCGTTTGACAGTGGCAAACTTGGTGGCTAAAAAGTGGTCAAATTCCTTTTTAAAAGAGAACACAAGAGACGTACATTTGCTGATGCCAGTGGAATCAAGTGTGTAATGATTTACATGCTATTCAAAGTGTAACAGGCATCCTGAGGCATTCAAAATAAAAGTGACTAAATGCAAACTGTTGTGTTACCTGTGATTCAAGCATCAGTTTAGCCAGCTGTCTCCTCTCCTCTGTCGAAAACGCCTCTTTCTTGAGCTCCTCAAATCGGTCTGCAAACCACTCTCTTTCCTGCAAGCTCTGGAGCTGAGTGGTTTCCACTGAGATTCTCCCACAGTATGTTCTCTCCAGATAGGCCACCACCTCTTCTGAGGTCGCCTCGGCTTTGCCAAAATGCCGCAATCCTGCAATAAAGACAAGAAGAAATGTAAGGAACTAAATGGGCCAAATTACAGGAGTGTTATTTAAAAATATACTGTGGTAAATACAACTCAACCTCAGCGGCAAATTGCCAAATCATCATCATATTAGGATATTGCATGGCAGATACGGATTCATCAGACATTATACTACTATCACTTCATACAACTTTAAAAGAAAGAAAAAAAAAAAGACTAAACAAATTGAATATACAACACTATAAAATATTCTTTAAGTGTACTTGTGATAAAAACTTAAAATTGTCACAGAAAATAATTGTAACTAATCTCTCAGTTTAGAAAAAAGTGTAGGCCTATTTATAGTAATAGACAATGAGAGTGTATGGGGCAAGAAATTGCACAGATAAAAACATTAAAATACATATTTTTTAGGGCTGGGCAAGTTAACGTTATTATTATCGCTTAAAAGTTAACGTTAACTTTTAACGTTAAAGTTATTATCGCGTTAACGCATTAATTGATTAATGCCGACAATTATTTTATCGCGCATTAACGCAGTTTTTATTGTTTTTTAATAATATAGTTTTTTACTCAGATGCAGCTGAGTTAATTAAATAATTTGCAGCTTTACTCGCAAACTACATTTCCTGCTCCTCAATAAGGTGAGAACCAGAGCCATTATAAACCTAAATATACTTGATTGAATTAAATTAAAAAGTGTAGTGTAGTAGTAGTAATAGTATATGTTTGCGGTCGTAATGATGACAGCAGCGCACACAAAACAGTATTTGATCCGTGCTCCGGCGCGGTTAGCGCTCACACTGCATGCGTACCGCGCCCGAGCCCAAC